AACGTGTTTATTCATTATGTTATCATTGATGAGAAATTTATCCAAAACGCACGTCACCTGAAAAATTGTTTCTTTATTTGCAATACGTGTCAGAGAATCCAATCGCGCGTTCATTGCTTTCAATACGCAAAGATACGAATAGTAGATCTCGAAACACGTGTACTGTATTAGCACGTGTGAAGCCATCTGGAAAAACATAGTCCACGGTATGTGTGTATAGTATTCAAGTGTAATGTTGTAAACAGATATTCGGGTAAATTGTTTAAATAGATTATCAATGAACATACAGTAGACGTTTGTTGAATAGATAATTGTGAATATTATTAAAAATATAATTGAATGTATCTTGCTTGTTTTCAGCGAGTATTTTGAACAATAACAATTTATTTCATAGTATAATTCAAATATCATATTTGAGTTATATTTGATCTGTAAGTATGCGTACAGAAAAATTATGCGTTTAATTATAGCGATTGACATTATTATCAAATCATTTAGTGTTTTATTTTTATCAAACAAATCGGTGCCAATAGTTGTGATGACCATAATATGTGACATCATTAACAATGCAGACATTGTGTGACTTATTGTACGACAGTTTGGACTTAAACCAAAAATTATTAACACATAATTAAACATTTTATTTTAATTAGTAAAATCACATTTATTGGAAATTAATTTTTTGAATAATATTAATTATTTAAATTTGTTATAAAGTAAATTAAAGGCATTAAAATATTAAATTACAAAATTAACATATTTGCTTATAATAATAATAATAATAAAATAATAGTTATATATTTATTATATATTAGTAGATAATATTATTAGTATTTTTTTTATTTATTATTAGAAATTATTAAATATACATATATTAATAGTTTTACACAATCTTAAAAGATATTTGTCAAAAACATTAAATATATAAATTTAATAAAAATTTAAGTTTATATTCAAAAGCATTTATGTTTATATGACAAAAATTAGTCAAAAGTAAGATCATTATTTTATATATATATTTAATTTTTAGACATTAAGTATATAAGCAATTTAGTAGTATAGTTATTGTTGTAGTAGTAGTAGTAGTAGTAATAGTTAATCTTTATATCGCTAAATACATGTGCATTTATATAACATAAGACTAATGTATATTAAAGTTTAGTAGTTTTACAGTTATACTGTATTACAGTATTTTAGCTTTTAAATCATACCTTATTTATAGTAGTATATGGTTTACTATATCTATAATTTATATAATATATACAAATAGACATAAAGTCTAAATTAATATAAAAAGTATATATAGTTGAGTGTAAATACTGTATATTATAAAGTAAACATATAATTATGTTTTTGAATTACATTAAACTTTTTGAGAAAGTTATATACTGTATCTAAAGTTTATATATATATTAATTTATATTATTTTATATTTCTTGTCAATAATAAATAATATCATTGTTTTTTAGTTATAATTGAACTTACATACAAATAGTTAAAACAAATAATAAATGATATTTGATATATAAATTATTATTTTAATGATAATAATAATATATGTTCTTAAACAATGATATCTAATACTTTTTCTAAATCTAAAAAATTTAATATAAAATCATTTATATAATGTGCTTTAAAATATGATTTTTATTTTCAATTAGTTGATAAAAAACAGTTCAATTAAAATATTATATAAAAAATAAAGATATAATAATAAATTAAGATAGTATTAAGATTAATTTATTTATATGTAACTAATAATTTTAGTTGTTAATCTAATATTAATTAATGTAATGTCAATTGTAATAAAATAATATAATTTAATAAATACTAAATTAATTTTTTTAGGTAATGTTCTTTAGATATAAAAAAAACATTAATGTCAAAATTTAATATATTTATTTTGATTACTAGTTTATATATATAAAGTATTTCCTATTTTATATATTAAAAATTATGCATTTATATTAAATAAAATTATCTTTAAAATAATTATTTTATTATAATTCATTTAGATATACTGTAGATTAAAGTTATAATTATTTTGCATCAATGATTTATTTTGAATGACATTATACTTTATTCATCAAAATATTTATAAATCTCATGTATTTTTTTGATTGCATAAATAAAATGCATGAATAAATTTTTCATAACTAAATTTTTGCAAAACTATTTATCAAATTAATTACAGTATTATTACTTAATATAAATTATACATTATTTCTTTTTAGATTTTATTTCTAATTTTTAGTAATAAATACTGACTAAATGTTTATATTTAAAAGTATATATATATTGCACTTAAATTGTAATTTTTTTGAAAATAAATATTGAATCAGTATATTCTGTATAAAAAGATATAATTATATAAAGTGATATAATAACAATTAAGGAATACTATTGAATACATTATATAATTTATTTATATTTTATATTACATAACAAATATATAGACTAACCAATTACAACCAACTGTAATATAATAATATAAATATTTAAAAATATATAATTAAATAAGTAAGAATAAAGTTAATTATTTTGAGGAAAATTTTAATTTAAAAATAAGATATTAACTAAAAGTGTATAATATAATACAGTATGGGTTAGTAATAATTAACTAATCACTTTTATTAAGTTATCAATAATTATATACAGTAATACCAATAGAGGCGGCACCTAAATCATTGAATCAGTCTATAAATATTGATTTTTTTATTAACTTTTAACATTTATAAATGAAACTACTTATTAAATATCAATTTATTAATTATTGTTAGTAACATAAAAACTTATACGAATAATAATTTTATTTATTTACTTTGGATTAATTGATATTAAGTTTTAAAATAATTAGTGTTGTTTACGATAGACATTAAATAATAAATTCATAATTAAAACATAATTATATCTCCAATCGCACAGATATTCATTGGATATAATTTATGACAGTATAGACCAATTTCAGGACCAATAGATAGTTTCTCAATAAATCGTAACACTTTTAGTTGACCGCCAATAGTTGGGAACTGGTATTTGACACATGAATGTCTCGAACAGGTATTTGTAAGGTCTGTGCGTCGATGATGTAATCGACGCGTACAACAAGTTTCCCGAAATTATGGCCAAAACACAGGCCAACAATATTATAGTTGACCCGAATCGGGTATACAACAGTGAGTCCGGTGCGTGTACTACATAGAGCAGTATGTTTAGTACCGGTTGGGCGCCGACATACATGACTAGTATAAAGTAGTTAATAGTTTCATTTAAACTAACCGTATGTCGGCAACAAATATCGTACAAAAGGAAAGCCCTATCGAGTAGCCGATAGTTACGTATTATCAGTGACAGTATCATAGAGTCATTGATTTTTTGGAATTAGTATTTAAGATATATTAGGGATAGAAACCAAAAACGAAACATTGACAGTACAACTGAGTGAAAGTCAAATATGGCTATCATTGATACCACTGTCCACGGAATGATAGTCCACATTGAATATTCTGTATTGTGTCGGTCATAAAGTTAGACTATAACGGGTGGCCAACAAAATAGTATACACGAGTTGATCCAAAACTGGACTATCAATGGCCACGACATGTATCGTGTGATTAGATTCATATATTTGTTGAATTTTATGCGATATTTTGCGCGCAACAAATTACATTTATTCATTTGACCATGCTTAATTTTGTACAAATAGTCTATTTAATTTGCTTATTGATAATTAGTTAAAGTTGTTTTAAATAGTTAATATACAATATGTAGAAATTTATACTGATTTTTTTTAATGTAAATAATTTACTACTACAGTATTAAGACAATTACTATAACTTAAATATTGTTGAATATAATAATTAAAAACTATTTATATATCTCAACAATACTTAATTATAATAATTATATTGATTGAGTACTTATTATAATGTTTTATGTGATAATTACACTATTACTGTGATTATAATAAACATAAGGAACTCATTAAATAATATATTTAGTACTATAATGAATATAATTATAAAGATTATTATTTTTATTTGTTTGACATTTCGTTATAAATAGTTTACAAATGATTTATTATAATATTTGAAGTAAAAATAATATAAAATTTTTTATAAAATAATTTGTAATATTTTATTTAAATTTAAATTTGTATAATTTAGCATAAAACATCTTTCTAAAATGGTTATTAATCTAATTTTTTATTTAATCTTAAATAATCAGATTTTACATAATAAAATTGGATAATTTTTTTAATAAATTAATTTTTAACAAAAACATTGTTTAAAATATTGTATATTGAATTATTTATGTTATATATTTTATATAAAATCATTTTTAAAATGTTTTTATAGTTTTTTAAATGAATATATTTTTAAATATAGTATTTTTTATTAATTTATTAATCTATATCAATAAAACATGAATATTTTTATAGTAAACTAATAATAATTATTACGGTATTTAACAACAGCATTTTTATTTAATACTATTAAAAAATATTTAAAGTTTAAATTATGATATCTATTATATATGATACCTGATGAATTGATAAAAGCATATTAACAATAATTTTATATTACAACTCAATTTTATACATTGTTATATTAATTAATTAATTAATTAATTATTGTTAATAATAATAAATTGTCAAAATGCAACTGCTAATCTAAAAATGAAATTAATTAGTTTTGTATTTTTTAAATGATACTAATAATAACTAAATAACAGTTTATTAAAAATATTTTATACTTATTTAAAAAATGTTATATCCATACACAGTATTTGAAAATATTGTCAATTATGACGTTTATAATAACTTATTTCATATAATAATGATTAGCAATTTTTCATAAATATGAATATATTTATATTATCTTATTTTAATTTGATAATATACGGTAGTTTATAGTAATAAACAATATATCATAATTTATTTTAATAATATTTTTTTTATTAATCAAACATGTTTTTTAACAAATGTTTATTACAATTACTTCAATTAATGTTAATTTTTCAAATTATACACAATCAAATGTGGACATATGAAAGTACAGTATATTTTTTGAAATATAAATTATCTAGATAAATTATTATACATTAAAATTTTTGTTTTGAATAATTTTAAAGATAAATCAAGCTGGCTACAATATCCAATGTGCTCCTCCGGGTCACGTCAATCACCAATCAATATTGAAACAAATAATTTAAAAGTAAATGTGTCCTTGGCTATTGAATTTATTGGCTATAAACAACCAGTGTCAAATTTAAAATTAATAAACAATGGCATTACAGGTAGTATAAGTTTATAATAAATTTTTATCATTTTTAATTATTTGTTTTGGTATTTAAAGCAACTTTACTGACTGACATATATGGTGATAGACTGGCCATTGGGGGCAGTGCTCTGGGAAACGATATCTACAATTTAGGTGAAATACATCTACATTGGGGTCCAATCAATAGTATCGGAAGCGAACACTCACTTAATAATCACTATTCGTCGGCTGAAGTAATAAAAAAAATCAAAATTATATAAAATTTTTATTTAAAAAATAATTTAATCTCATTTTTAAACAATTGATTATTAATTATAATTACTAAAAAACAGGTACATTTTGTTCACTACAATAGACGGTACGGTATTATAGGTGATGCTCAATCAAAATTAGACGGTATTGTCATAGTTGCGGCACCTGTACGTTTGTCTATACAACCAAATATTGAGTTTAATACTATTGTCGAAAGTCGACCTATGATTACACCGTTTGGCGCAACTGTCGGTATAAGCAAACCTATTATATTAGACAGACTATTGCCGAAAAATAGGAAAATATTTTTTCTATATAACGGTTCCCAAACCGAACCGCCCTGTAATGAAAATGTTAGATGGATTATATTGTACGATAAAATAGACATGACCAATTATCAAGTTAGTATCTGTATATTTTTTATGGTAACTGTGCTAAATTCACAATTTCTATCATTTTAATAAACATTATTTATATATATATATATTATTTATTTGATTTTTTTATAGATAAATCAATTTCGCAATTTGTTTGGCAAACCTGTAAATGGATCTACAAAAAGCCGTATACTTTTCAATAGACGTGAAAAACAGTCACTAAACAATCGAACGGTTTGGGTATCAATTGCTGATACTGAAGGGTTAGGCATTACTTTTGGGAGACGACAGTAATTTTGTCGTAAATATATATATAATACAAAAAAAAATCACTTAAAAACTTAAATACCTGTTATTGGCAATTGATTATTGATTAATAATTTTAAGTAAATAATTTAAATATATATATATATATATATTTATTATAATACAAAATTATTTTCTTTTATTAAATACTATTCTTTAATTAAAAATGATGTCTTCCACTGATATATCAATTTATTGTATTTATATTTATATTACAATACAAATAACAAATGCAAATATCAGTGAAATAATTTTAAATTAAAGAATAGTATTTAATAAAAAAAACTAATTTTTTATATAAGTTTATATTTTTTATATAAAAAAATATTTTCCAATTATGCCAATGAATTGATTTTGGTAACTATTGTTATTAGTGACTAAATTTCAAAATTTATAATACACTATTTACATAATTATAAAAATTAATAAATATTTATTATTATTTTTTTTAGCATAACATACATAAATTAAAATTATTTACATGACTTATTTGAAATTTAATGTCTTAGTTTGCACTTTTACATTTAGAAAAGTAAATCTTTACAGAATAAATGTTAAATATATATATATATATATATTAAATATATGTTTTACTTATTATATATATAAACAAAAACTATAACTAAAGTGCTTCTTATGTTACTTATTATGAATACTTTTATTGTAATATTGTTGAGGATTTGTGTCTTAGACTCAATTGTCTAATACTTTATCTTCTAATCGATGACTGCATCCATCTCTACTCAAAAACAGTACCGATTCATTGGTCCTACAACTGGACAATTCATTGCTGACATCGTTTCCAATCTTAAAGTCATACAAATCTCTCGGATCCACTCTTTGGTATAGTAGTAGTAGTAGTAGTAGTCAGTAGTTAGCCGGCAGTAGTAATCATGATCTTAACCTATCCTATGCATAATGCCTACCAATGCCAGAGGACAACACTTCATATTTTATATGGTAGCGGAACAGGGTTAGTTTTAAGACCACACCCATATCGATCCGAAATAACCATTTGGTGGATCAAACATTTTTCCTCAATAGAACTGTACCAATAGGACCCTTTGAGGTCAACTTAACCCCCTTTATATTCCCCACATCGGCTCTTCCGCCAGAATGGCGACGCTGTTGTCTCTCATCAAATGTGGCGACTGATGCTGTTATGCCAACTGATTGAGCTAAAGGACAGTACGACTAGTAGGGTTCGAACTCACTAACTCTAGTTTGCAGCAGACAATGCGTTTAACCCACTCAACAACCGTCTGAAAGTTTTTTTTTTAAAAGCACATTATTCTAACCGAATCACAACAATATATATGAATTTATTTTCAATTTTATATATTAAAATAGTAAAAATAGTAAATATAGTAATAGTAAAATAGTAACATTTTGATATTAATATATATTCTAAATTTATATTTTTTAATTTAGTGAGTAGAAAAAAATCAATAAACTAAATGGATTTTTTTATTTTTAATAATTTATAAATATTTAGACTAAAAAACTATTATACAGTATTGAGTATTGAATACTACATAAAAATATAATAATTATAAAAACAAATTTTTTAACGATAAATTTTGAATTAATTAAAATATTTTTGAGAAAAATTATTAATATATATATATATATTTTTTTTTTAATTCACAAAATAACTTAAGTTGCTTTAAAGCATATAAAAATTTTTATACTATACAAACATCTGTAATCTTTCAATAAATATTTAACATTATTTTATTGATTTATTTTTATTAACATTTATATTAATGATATTGATGCTTTATATATATTTTAATTTATAATAGTACATTATACTTTAATAATAACAGTTATAACACAATTATTTTGTAAAGCTATCTAAATGATAATTTTAAGAATTATCATTTTATTATAATACTAATAAAATATTATATTTAAGTTAAACAAATAATTAATGATTTACACAAATATTTTTACAAAAATAAGAAAAAAATACTAAATTTGTATGTAATAAATTGAAGTTATATATTAATTATTATAATAGACTTAAATATACATAAATATTTGTTTTAGCATTTATTGAATTAAACACTATTTAATATCAATAGTAAGAATTTTATCATAAAATAATAAGTATAGTATTTTCATAAAAATATACTATTTTAGACATAGGTTTTAAAGTTATTTTAGATTATATGATTAAATTATACAATTTTTCATTAGATTATTTATAAATAAATATCTAGTGTATTAAAAAATAAGATAAAGTAATTAAATTTAAAAAGATTTAATATTAAAATTAATTTAACTTTACTATTAAACATTAAAATATTTAATTATATTACAATAATATTTTGTTTACACAATTAGTCTAAAATAAATAGAAATAAATAAAAATTATGTTTAAAAATATTATGTAACATATGATTAACATATTTATTTGATAAAAGATTTTAATTTATTTATAACCAGATTCTGAACATTAAGTTTATTTGCGATATAATATTGAATATAAATGTGTAATAACCACAAAACAATTATATATATTAATACCATATATAAGACAATTATATTATTACACAAATTTAAGAACACAACCGCTGATACTGTAGTAATAATATTCATAATAATATTGAAATATTTAATAACATTAACATATTTAGTTAGACTATAATTATCATGGTGAAATTTGCCAATACATTCACTGATATGATAATAATAGTTTGGTGTAATATCTTTATCTATGGCCACCAAATGTTTCATCATTGGTGTCAATATAGCCGAATATTTATCAATAATATCCAATCGCATAATTTGTATGTAAAATAACCAAATAACTGTATAATAAATACTAAATAGAGCATGATGACTAAATAATAATGGCACATATTTTATTTTAAATAAATTATCAATATCATCGTTTAAATAGACAACAAAATAAAATAGCATATATAACAAAAATATCATAATTATGAAAAAATATGATTTTCTATTTGATGCAATCAAACGATATTTATTAAAAAATTCGGAAAGTTCTCTATAAATTTTTTCAATATTATTGTTATTGTATTTAATATAGATATATGATATGCCATTAACAATCATTCCCAATGAGATAAATAATTTGATAATTGTTTCAATCAATGTTTGCGACATTTCAATGGCTAAAATAATTGTGGCAAATAATATAGCATATGTAGTAAATACTAAACCAGTAAATATAGTATTCAATGTTTTCATATCACTATATAAACCAAATGTAATTTTTATGTAATTTAACATTTTTACAAATATTTATTTTTTATTATTATTAAGTTATAATAATTATAATAATGTAAAGTTTATGATAAATATTTATGTTGATAGTTGTATTTTTTAACAAAACAATTATAATTGATAAAAATTATTTTTAAAATATTTATCTTTCAACATTTAAAAACAATTAAGGTATTTTTAACACTGTTACATTGAATTCAGATAAAATTTAATATTTATTATAAATATTTAAAAATTCAAATCAAATAACAAATGTATGACTACTAAATAATTTAATGTTTATTTAAATAATATTCATATTTTATGATATAAATTACATTACATCAAACTAGTCAACTATAAAAATAAATGAACCAAATATAAGCAATAGCTATAATACTTTATATAAAAGAAGTCATATAAATACATTGTATATTATTAGTTGTATCTAAAATATATAGAGTATATATTTAAAAGCAAAATATGTCATTTGATTTATTTTTTTATGATAAAAGCTTTTATGTTTAAACTTTGAATTATTTAAAACATTTAAAGATTTAATTTAATTTTCCAGTTGTTTTATTATTATAATTTTAAATAAATTATTACAAAATTTATTTAAATAAATATTTTATCTAACGATTTTTAGTATTTATTTTTAGAAAATATGTAAATATATGTTTTGAATACTTTATATATAACTAGATATGCGCACTGTATGTTATTTCAAAAATTGATTAATAGTATTAATTTAATACAATATAATTTTTTAAATTATTGTATTAAAAATTAATATTTAGTATAAGTATCAATCAGTTGAACAGTTTAATAATAAAGTAAAATATAGTTAATTTAACTAATTAGCACTAATCCTTTTTAAATAATGAATATAAAATCTAAATATAACTACTACTACTACTACTATAGCAAACAATAATAATAACAACAATATAATAAAATTAATTTTCAAAAATCATTAGTTTTTAATATGAAAATCATAAGAGATTAAATTTTATATTATAATTAATCATTAATTAACAGAATTGAAGTAAAAATTTATAATAAACTATAAATTTATATAAATACTAAAACAATATTAGTTGAAATTAATGTAAATATTTAATAATAAAATATAAGTTTAATATAATTTATATCTCTAATTTATTGAAACAAAAAAAATATTATTAATTTAAATAATATACTTTAATAAGCTTAAACTCTGTTTTAAAATTTAATATAAATAATTATTAACATCATTATGAGTTTATATAATAATATTAAAACAAACATGCATTTTTGAATATTTATAAACTTATTTTTTAAACCAAACACATATTGTAAATTTTTTTACCAAACACTATGTAAAAGTAATATTATCAAAAACGAAAATAATTAAAATATATATCTTTAGGTATATCCAAACAAATTGAATTTATTATAACTTACGAATGGAAAAAATAAATTATAAAAATAAATTACTATTTTTAGTATCATTTTAATTAAATACTATATATCAATATAAATTTTATTATAGTGTATTACTATAGCATTATTAATTTTTATATTAGCACTTAAAATAAATTATTATGACAATAAATAATTTACAAAATAAACACTTTTATTGATAAATTATATTAAAATTTATATATTTATTTGATATAAAATACAATAAAAATAGATAAAAATTCTAGCATTGAATTTATATTTTAAATTGAATAATAAATATAATAATATTATATATTAAAAATCATAAC